ATAATGTCAGCGCTGGATTTCCCCACTCAACTCTAATCAAACCCACTCATGCACAAAAACTCCAAAATGCAATTCTTAATTACATCAATTGATCAGTCTGTTGCCAAGTCCTTGTCAAATTGTCACAATATGAAATATGCTAGGCACCCAAAATATCCTCTATGGGAAGGTAAGTTTTATGAATAGAACAGTACTAGCCTTGATTTGACTTGATCCGTTGCAGCACACTCTGTCGCGTAAGGCACTCGTCAGCACCTCCTCTGTCTCCTCCTTCTTATCGTCTCTCATATAACAGAAGAACAAAGAACAGACAAGAATTTAGTATTTTATGCACTCACTGGGTATTTCAACCATTCAATACTCCTCTGTTCACATTCGCTCTAAAAAATAAGCAAACAGCTTAACTCAGGAATAGTATAAATAGCTCAATAACATTTTATTTTATTTATTTATTTAATTATTTTTTATTTTTAATCTGTCAGCATATCTCTCATTTATCAATTCAATAGATCTCAATCAAATAGTTTCATCGTTAAGCAACAGCCGATTTAACAAACAGAACACTCCATTCGTGTTTAAGTCTCCCCCTCCCTCTCTGTCTGCTCTGAGTCTGTGTCTCCCAGCAGCTCAGTGCAGGCAGGGGAGTGGCATATTTGCTCTACGTAACTCTAAGCTCATGAAATCACACGCATGCGTAGTCCATTCACCAGTGCGATTTCAGAGTGGAAGGAGCTCCCAAGCAGCTCTCTCCAAGCTAAACAACAGAAAGTAGACAGACCAGCTGCCCCTCCGTTCCTTCCCCCCATACAGACAAACAGTAACACTTAACAGAACTTACAAACCAACACAAAACATAGAACACAAATCCTACTTTGAAGTTTCTTAACTTCACTTATCCTAATCTGCAGATTTATAGTTATTTTCTTATCCATTACAAAACATCTCTATACACTGTTAAAAACTCCTCCCTGTAGGCTCATGAAATTCTAATAGTTAGTAAACGTTCTCTTTTTATAGAGACTCATAAGATTTTTAACCTTAACGTCCTTCCAGGGGGCTCATATATAGTTAACAATTATTAACGTTCTCACCAACGGAGACTCATAAGATTTTTAACCTTAACTTACATATTTCCTTATAAAAAACAAAAACCCCTGTTCTCAACCAAAACATATATATGTATATATCTTTAACATAAATCTTATCCTAACATGAGTCGACACACAACAACAGAGACGTCTTTATTTTATTATTTTTCTCTCTCCCACACACACACACATACACAGTTGTACTACAGACCCCTAAGGCAGCATTCTACCTCCATTGCGCCGTTTTTTTCCATTGTTCCTACATTTCTGCTACCTAGAGTTTCCAGATATCCAATGAGCGGTTACATCAAACATATACTTCGTCAACTATAAGTTGAGCGGTAACTTGCATTCGAATGTATGTACCACAAACTCCAGTCCCCGGGACTGACCTAAAACCAACCTAATGAGCTTTTAGGATTTTCGGCCCATCCTAATGATCGCCTCGTTGGAGGGCTTGCCATAGATTCGCAATGTCCTAATTTGTATACATTTTCCTTGGCCTTATTCCTTCATTCTATTCTTTTTCAATTTTCCTCAAGCAAAATATCCCTGTGTCCAGTATTTGTCAATAGTTATAGACACTCCCCCCTGTTTGCGTTGAAAGCAAACAAATTTAGAAATTTAGAACGGACTCTTATCCCACAGCAAATAACAGCAAAATGCACACATAAGTCTTTCAAACGGTACATCTCCCCAGCGCACACACCCACATAAGCAAACGAACTGACCAGCGCACAAAATTATGAGAAATCTCACCTTATGAGCCGGCGTCTTGAGCGGGAGTCACTTCGTAGCTCATGAATGGAACACTGGAGAGACGCAACACGTCCCAACTACCTCGTCGCCATTCTGTAGTAACTAAATAATGATGCTAATTATGCTGTGAGAACAAGGAGTCCGCTTACACTGTACTTTGATTATAAAGGTTTATTATATCAAAGGATTTCAGCGTAAATTTACAGACATCTGCAGACATCTGGAGAACAACGGAATCGATCTAATATGTTGTTACTCCCCGTCCTTTGTTTTAACCTGGGTATTTACATCCTATGCCCTATGTAACATAATATGGGTGTTTTCCCATAAATCAATCCCAGGAGGCCACCTAACAGACTTCCTCTAACACACCATTTGCAAACATCAACAAAGTCATAAACTGTTTAGACACTACAGTGATCAATAGATCATGGGATTTATGTCAGTTGCTAGGTCTTAGCTATGAATCCATACAGAATAAAGCTAGCTAGCTAGCTTAAAAATAGCTTGCAAAATAACTTGACCTAGCTAATCGATTTCAGTGGCTAGCATCTCACTACAACGTTAGAGTTACAAACTCTTAATAACATTGACTTGGACAATAGCTTCCAATAACATATTACAAAGAAGAAAAAAGTTTGCTACCCAGCCATAAAATAAATACATTTAAAGATACCCGCCATGACAGCTAACAGTTGGGGTCTGGTGGACATTGTGCATTCGCTCTCAGCGGTAACCTGGAAATGCTCGTCGTGATTGACAGGTGGTTGCGCCAGACAACATGGCCCGTGTGAGTTGTCACCAACCAGTCAGTGTAGACAGTCTACTGAAAGCCTCATCTGATTGTTTGGAAGAAACAGGTCCCACCCCTCAGAGCCCCTGCTTTCTCTCTCTCTCTCCATGCTTGCAAATCGATGTATGACATCTGCAAACCTTTTTGTCATGGTAGGGTGTTAAAGCACTGCCAAAGTCTTAGCACACAAAATTGACATAAGCAGGTGTACAGATGCAATCATTGCTGGCAAATGTTAAGCTACAAGTTTACGAATGTGATTACAACTACAAAAAGTTACAGGTTTGAGAATGTGTTTACAACTTCAAATCTATTCTACACGCTCAAATCATTATGTCAATGATTTAACTTCGTAATTCTCACATCAAGTTCTGTTTTTATATGTACCAACCTTTGCGTAAAAACTGGCGCACGCACTTTACTGTAGGTTTCAATGTAGGTTTTTTAGTCAGGCATGTCCCTTAGTTTTACGGTACTTATCATTTTATCTATACAATGTCTCGCACAACTAGCTACATTTATTTGTACTACTTTACACATTTATTTTGGCATTCCACCCCTGTAAACATAATTTTCATGATGACGTGGAAGTGGAGAAGGAGACTATCATTTCATGCAAGCGCATTTGTTTCCATATTTCCTCTCCTCCCCTCCTCTTCTCTCCTCGATTACCTTTAACCTTTTTCAAAAGGAGAAGAGGAGAGGATGGAGGAGAGGACAAGAGGAGTCGAGCAAAACCAATTGAGACTGCCAAGGAAATACAAGTAAGATTCACCCATAGAGAATTATACAGGACTCTAGTGCCCAAAAGCCCATTTTAGCATGGGCAGTGCCATTGAGGACTTTCACCATTTTGATGTAGTCAACTGGGTGGGACTTCCAATTGGTTAAGGAAGGATTACATAATTCCCAGGTCATCGGAAGGGATCAGCCAATTAATTACACTTGTGAGCAAACATTCCATAACTGCAGGTGGTTGTAAATGTATACGTAAAATTGTATGCACACATGACTGTAAGTCACTTTGGATAGAAGCGTCTGCTAAATGGCATATTAAATGGCAAACCTTGGCTTTATACCTGTTTAAACAACACACTACAGGTTGCAGTTTGCACCCTTTCAGTTTGTTTACCAACTCATAGAAGTAGTAGATGAAAAAATGGACTACTTCAAAATGGAGATGGTCTCAACGGCGCTGCCAGATGCACAGGGAGACCCACAGAAAAGATACAAAGATGAGTCCTCTATTATTATCTATGGATTCACCCTTTGTCTTTTCCGCATGGAGGGAGGAGCGTAAGCCTGCAGTGCACCCTGGTGGCGTTGGTGCAACTCCCAATTACCCTCTACTGCCCAGTCCTCCACCTCCAAGGCCAACAAACAGTGAATGGAGTGAGAGAAAGTTAGGGCGGCTTTGACGCTGTGGCAAATATCAAAGGAGCGGTCCTCTTTTTTTTTAAGGGTAAGACAAATACAACACTAGTGACACTAGCAGTGACAATGTGTTTACACAATTACACAAACTATTTTGTCTGCAGAATTACCATATTTTACTTGACAATGAAGAGGTTATATGGAAGTATTGCCTCTGGGTGTGCTCATTAGCTAAAAGAGGTCCCCTACATCGGCAGAAATATTGCCCAGAAATGAAATCATTGGACAGAAAGGGGCACACCTACACATGCCTATTAGCAAACACATATTGTTCGCCTAATAACTAAGGATTTTGCAGTTTCATGATTTAAAATATTGATTTATGAACGATAAAGGCAACATTTAAGCACAAATGTGACGTAAACAATTAGCCGTTACATTTCCACACAGCCTCTTTAATTATTGTGTTGCTTGTTTCAGGTCCACATTTCTGGAGGATCCAGAGTACTGGTGATCTGGTCTCCCTCAACCCAGCCCTGATTAGAAACTTCTGGATGGGGCTCCCCTGGAACCAACCAGATTGATGCCTTTTACGAGAGGAAGAGCGACAGCTGCATCATCTTCTTAATCGGTGGGAAAGACAACAGCACTATTGTAGCCCAAAGTCGTGTTCATTAGGGCACGTAACGGAAAATGTTTTGCAACTAATATGTTTTTGCAATGGAACATTTCCATTCCAGTCCAGGAAGTCCCTCCCTGTTTCAGTCTGTTCTCTTCCATTTGGTGCCTAATGAACATGTCTTTAGTTAGAGTTTAAAAACATCAGAACTAATCCAGGTTAATATCCTTATGAATGTGGTTGTTCTTGTGTGGTAAATCAAAGGTTGTTTCCTCTTCCTATCTATGCCTGTACAGGCGCTGAGTACTGGGTGTTCAAAGACACTGTGGCCCTCCCAGGCTACCCCAGGCCTCTTGCAGAGTAGGGGATGAAGTCCAACGATGGCAGGGAGGTGGAGAGAGTGGAGGCTGCCTTCGTATGGGCCAACAACAGGAAGATCTACATGTTCAGCATTGGTGAGTTCTGGAGGTTCCAGGAGGGCCGCAAGGAGGAGAGGAGGAAGCCGGATGGGGGCTACCCCAGAGATGCGGGCCTCTGGAGATGGGTGCCCATGGACCCTGATGACTTCATCAGCTGGGGAGAAGGTGAGGCCTTGAGAAAGACTTGATACTTGATGAGATGAAAGTGGGCTCCAGTGTTAATGTAGAGAAAGTGATAGTTCAGGGTTGTTCTAAATGACTAGGGCCAAGAGTTTTTCTGGGCCGTGTGACCTGACAGGTAAAAACTCTGCTTGGACTCCTTGACACCTTGACCTAAAATTATAATTAGTTATTATTCAGTTGGTTGAAACTAGCATGAAAAATACTGTCTAGACCTCAGCTCTGCCTACTCTCCAACCAGATATCTTACCCAAGTCTGCATGCCGGCTTGCAATGACATAAACAATCATTAAACAACCCACCCACTTTTCAAAGCATTTAAAAACAATTGTTTGATTCTGTTGCCTAGGAGATGCTTACTTGTTCAAGATAACCTCTATTGGGTGCTGAGGAAAGGAGGACTGAACCAAGATAATGTCTCTCCAAAATCCATTGCGGTGGATTGGCTCAGGTGTACACAAGATCCCACCCCCCACAAGTGCCCACCCCCCACACCCCACCTTCTAGCCAATCATCATCCAAGTGGAAGAGACTGCAGAGAATCTGCAAGGCCCATTTGCAGTTGGCTGATCTGATCCTGCTACAGTATCTCTCACTGTAGTATTTGTTTTAAAGGTGCAATATGCAGAAATCGCTGCGCCATTTCACTTCTTGCTAAAAGTCTAATAGTTTGCCTAATTTCAGTTTATGTGACAAAACAAGCTGTAGAGAATCACTGTACCATCTAAACTGCTGTAAAATACATTTTCCATAACCAAAAACATTGTATTTTCAGCTGTTTGAAGCTGGTGTATAAAACTGAAAGTAAAAATCGCAAAAATGAAACTCAAGAATGGGAACCATAGAAATAGCACACATAGCACAGATCTACTGCTTCTTAGACTTGCTTTCAATGAGAATGACAGATCTATAACTCACATTTCTATGTGAATTTGGTTGCGTCTTCCCAAAAAGTTACATATTGCAGCTTTAAATTAAATAGTTCGTAGTATAACGCAGTCATGTCTTCTCCTTTGGGAAATGTTAAATGATCATTTCAAATGGACGTTTTCAATAAAGGGTGATTCGCTCTGCTGTAGTCCTGCACTTATACCACTGGAGGGTCACATTGTCCTTCAAGGTAAAACCTAGGCTCGTGACTGTTTGTGAGTTTATTTGTGTTTAAAATGTAGATTCAGGCATTGTTGTGTGTGCATATATCTGTGCATTACTGTATGTGTGAATCTCCACAGTACAGTACAGCACATACATGGTTCTCTCATTTATATATCTGACTGTGATTATGTGTTCCAGTGTGGAGATGATGGTCACCCAGAGCTATTATTATTATAGTTATTAAAGACAAAGCATGTTGAGTTGTGCAGAAAGACCAGCTTACACTCTCTCACCTTTCCACAGAATGGCTGCACAAGGCTCTGCAGACGGACAAGACACGGAGCCAGAGGCTGATTAAGATGGGTACCACCCAGTGGAGGCTGCTGACTCATAGTAATGGCTGGAATGGAATCAAACACATGGTTTCAATGTGTTTGATTCCATTCACTCCATTCCAGTCATTATTATTTTACATTTACGTCATTTAGCAGACACTCTTATCCAGAGTGCATACATTATTTAATTTTTTATACTGGCCCCCTGTGGGAATTGAACCCACAACCCTGGCGTTGAAAACTACCAACTGAGCTGGGATTGATTTGCACTTTTCACACCGAAGTACGTTCATCTCTAGGAGACAGAACTCGTCTCCTTCCTGAGCAGTATGACAGCTGCATGGTCCCATGGTGTTTATACTTGCGTACTATTGTTTGTACAGATGAACGTGGTACCTTCAGGTGTTTGGAAATTGCTCCCAAGGATGAACCAGACTTGTGGAGGTCTACAAAATTTTTTCTGAGGTATTGACTGATTTCTTTTGATTTTCCCATGATGTCAAGCAAAGAGGCACTGAGTTTGAAGGTAGGCCTTGAAATACATCCACAGGTACACCTCCAATTGACTCAAATGATGTCAATTAGCCTATCAGAATCTTCTAAAGCCATGACATCATTTTCTGGAATTTTCCAAGCTGTTTAAAGGCACAGTCAACTTCGTGTATGTAAACTTCTGACCCACTGGAATTGTGATACAGTGAATTATAAGTGAAATAATCTGTCTGTAAACAATTGTTGCAAAAATTACTTGTGTCATGCACAAAGTAGATTTGCCAAAACTATAGTTTGTTAAAAATAAATTTGTGGAGTGCTTGAAAAACAAGTTTTAATGACTCCAACCTAAGTGTATGTAAACTTCCGACTTCAACTGTACAAACAGCATAACTAAGCATCATTCACGGCACACTTATTGCATACCATAGAATTTCTTTGGGCAACGGAAAACGAAAACAAGCGGACAAGTTCAGGAAGTCCCTCCCTGTTTGCTTCTGTTTGGTTCCTACTGAATTTGACCCTGAAATCATAGTCACCAGGGCCACGTTCAGTAGGTAAACGTTGTTGAATGTTGCCGACTTACTTGTGTCATGCACAAAGTAGAGTCATTGCCAAAAGCACACAGCCATGCAATCTTGATAGACAAACATTAGCAGCAGAATGGCCCATACTGAAGAGCTCAGTGACTTTCTACTTGGCATCGTCATAAGATGTCACCTTTCCAACAACTCAGTTCGTAACATTTCTGCCCTGCTACAGCTGCCCCGGTAAACTGTAAGTGCTGTTATTGTGAAGTGGAAACGTCTAGGAGCAACAACTGCTCAGCCGTCAAGTGGTAGACCACACAAGCTCACAGAATGGGACTTTTGAGTGCTGAAGCGCGCAGCGCGTAAAAATAGTCTGTCCTCGGTTGCAACACTCACTACCGAGTTCCAAACTGCATCTGGAAGCAACGTCAGCACAATAACTGTTCGTTGGGAGCTTAATGAAAAGGGTTTCCATGGCCGAGCAGCCGCACACAAGCCTAAGATCACTATGCGCAATGCCAAGCGTTGGCTGGAGTGGTATAAAGCTCGCCGCTATTGGACTCTTTAGCAGTGGAAACGCGTTCTCTGGAGTGATGAATCACACTTCACCATCTGGAAGTCCGACGGACAAATCTGGGTTTGGTGTATACCAGGAGAACGCTACCTGCCCCAATGCATTGTGCCAACTGTAAAATTTGGAGGAATAGGAATAATGTCTGGGGCTGTTTTTCATGGTTCGGTCTATGCCCCTTAGTTCCGATGAGGGGAAATCTTAATTCTACAGCATAAAATGACATTTTAGATAATTCTGTGCTTCCAACTTTGTGGCAACAGTTTGGGGATGGACCTTTCCTGTTTCATTATGACAATGCCCCCGTGCACAAAGCGAGGTCCATACAGAAATGGTTTGTCGAGGTCAGTGTGAAATAACTTGACTGGCCTGTACAGAGCCCTGACCTCAACCCCATCAAACACCTTTGGGATGAATTGGAACGACGACTGTGAGCCAGGCCTAATCGGCCAACATCAGTGCCCAACCTCACTAATGCTCTTGTGGCTGAATGGAAGCAAGTCCCTGAAGCAATGTTACAACATCTAGTGGAAAGCCTTCCCAGAAGAGTGGAGGCTGTTAATCGAAGAAAATGAGGGACCAACTCCATATTAAAGCCCATGATTTTGGAATTAGATGTTCGACGAGCACTTTTGGCCATGTAGCGTACATCCGCTTCTAGGGAGTCTATCAACAGTCTAAAAAGGAAGTACTCTAAATCCACAGAGCCCTCTCAGAATGGCATTGCCATAGAGAGGACCGTGAACAACATGGTCAAAGATGGCTGCCAGTTTCTACTGGATTAAGTCTTTCTGGATCTTGTGTGACAGTGATGTGTTGTATCTTGTGTTTATGTGATATGTTTAAGAGATGACAAGACAACCAGCAAACGAGAGGAAAATATCACGGCTCAGGAAAAGACCCAGATGCAGACAGTTCAAATAACGGACGTTTATTATATAAACAGGGGCAGGCAAAGGACAGGTCAAGGGCAGGCGGAGGTCGGTAGTCCAGGTCAGAGTCTGTAAGGTACAGAGCAGCAGGCGGGCTCATGGTCGGGGCAGGCAGATGTCAGTAATCCAGGGCAGTGTCAAACGGTACAGAACGGCAGGCAGGCTCAGGGTCAGGGCAGGCAGAATGATCAATACTGGGAAAATGAGAAAACAGGGCTCAAGAAAACAGGAGTACGAAAAACACACTGGAAGACTTGACAAACTAGCAACAAACAAACACAGACCAAAGGTATAAATGCACAGGGGATAATGGGGAAGATGGGCAACACCTGGAGGGGGGTGGAGACAAGCACAAAGACAGGTGAAACAGATCAGGGTGTGACAGCACCCCCCCTCTAGTGACGCCACCTGGCGTCCTACCTGTGCGCATAACTGGTTGACCGGGGTGCCGGCGGTGGAACTCAGCGATGAGGCCTGGGTCCAGGATGTCCCTAGCAGGGACACAGCACCTCTACTCCGGGCCATAACCCTCCCAGTCAACCAGCTACTGGAATCCCCTGCCCCACGGCTGAACCTTCAGGAGGCGCCACACCGTTTACGCCGGTTGGCCGTCGCTGAGACGGGGGAGGGGGGTGGGCCTGGAAACAGGAGACAAAGGGCTGTGAGTCATAAATTGAATCCTAGACACATGAAAAGTGGGATGTATACGGAGGGTACAAGGCAACAGAAGACGAACAGCAGAGGGGCTAAGAATCTTAGAGATGGGGAAAGGGCCAATAAAACGGGGAGAAAGTTGGCAGGACTCCACCCGGTGGACAGCCATACCCTCTGCCCGAGATGATAACGGGGAGCCGGGGTCCGGTGGTGGTCCGCCTGTCATCGATACCAGGAGGTGGTCTTGAGAAGAGCCGACCGGTCTCTCTTCTAGGTACGGCGACAGCGGCGGACAAACATTTGGGCCGAGGGTAGGCTGACCTCTTCCTCTTGCTCTGGGAAGAGCGGGGGCTGATAGCCCAGGGAACACTCAAAAGGTGAGAGACCAGTGGCAGAGCAGGGAAGGGTGTTGTGGGCGTACACTACACACACGAGTTGCAGTTGGTGGGGTTGGCGGAGACAAGGCAGCGAAGAGTCGTCTCCAGCTCCTGATTGGCTCACTCCGGCAGGCCGTTAGACTGGGGGTGGAACCCGGAGGACAGCCTTGCCGACGACCCAATGAGCATGCAGAACGCCTTCCAGAACCGGGACGAGAACTGAGGAAGACCATGGTCAGAGACCATGTCCACTGGAAGTCCATTGATTCAAAAGACGTGCCGCACCATGAGCTGGGCCGTCTCCTTGGCTGAGGGTAGCTTGGGGAGAGGAATGAAATGGGAAAACCTTTGGAAAACCGATCCACCACTCTAAGGATAACGGTGTTGCCATCAGATGGGGGGAGACCAGTGATAAAGTCGAGGGATATACAGCACCAGTCAAAAGTTTGGACACACCTACTCATTCCAGGGTTTTTCTTTATTTTGACTATTTTCTACATTGTAGAATAATAGTGAAGACATTAAAACTATGAAATAACACATATGGAATCATGTAGTAACAAATATATTTTATATTTGAGATTCTTCAAAGTAGCCACCGTTTGCCTTGATGACAGCTTTGCACACTCTTGGCATTCTATAAACCAGCTTCATGAGGTAGTCACCTGGAATGCATTTCAATTAACAGGTGTGCCTTGTTTAAAGTTAATTTGTGGAATTTATTTCCTTCTTAATGCGTTTGAGCCAATCAGTTGTGTTGTGACAAGGTAGGGGGGTATACAGAAGATAGCCCTATTTGGTAAAAGACCAAGTCCATATTATGGCAAGAACAGCTCAAATAAGCAAAGATAAACGACAGTCCATCATTACTTTAAGACATGAAGGTCAGTCAATCTTCAAGTGCAGTCGCAAAAACCATCAAGTGCTATGAGACGCGGTGTGGGTGAACGGATGATCTCTGCATGTGTATTTCCCACCGTAAAGCATGGAGGAGGTGTTAATGGTGTGGGGGTGCTTTGCTGGTGACACTGTCTGTGATTTATTTAGAATTCAAGGTACACTTAACCAGCATGGCTACCACAGCATTCTGCAGCGATACGCCATCCCATCTGGTTTGGGCTTAGTGGGACAATCATTTGTTTTTCAACAGGACAATGACCCAACACACCTCCAGGCTGTGTAAGGGCTATTTGACCAAGAAGGAGAGTGATGGAGTGCTGCATCAGATGACCTGGCCTCCACAATCCCCCGACCTCAACCCAATTGAGATGGTTTGGGATGAGTCGGACGGCAGAGTGAAGGGAAAGCAGCCAACAAGTGCTCAGCATATGTGGGAACTCCTTCAAGACTGTTGGAAAAGCATTCCAGGTGAAGTTGGTTGAGAAAATGCCAAGAGTGTGCAAAGCTGTCATCAAGATAAATGGTGGCTATTTGAATAATCTCAAATGTCTTCACTATTATTCTACAATGT